AGGAAGGAAGGAAGGAAGGAAGGAAGGAAGGAAGGAAGGAAGGTTGGTTGGTTGGTTGGTTGGTTGGTTCTTGGGAAACAGAAAAAAAGCCTTCCTACTTGCATGTCAGTATTTGTATCCTAAATGTAAATAACATTTACATCCTTAGTATCAAAGAGAACAAGAGAGTAATAATGAGTCAAACACACCCTTTTTCAGCAAAGCTACTGTCTATGTGTGAAATGCCAAAGGGACAAAGAAACTACAACGTACAGGTCACGCCAGCAGGTTGAAACATGCCTTTGCCTCAAAATGCATCATGGTCTGCACCAACAATGCACAAAAGCATGAAGAGACTGCACAGACACACGCACGCACGCATGTACATGCTTAGCAGGCCAGCCAGCATAAAGTCTTTCATAAATGTACACTCAAACAAAAGGGACAAGACAAGGCAGTCCAGAGAATGCAAGACTGAATGACAGACACGAAAGGAAAGAACTCCAAAACCAAACCATATCAGAGCAAGCCAAACAGAGAATTTTTGGAAGGGAAAAGAGATAGCCATAATAGCAGTGTACTGTTATGATGAGTTGCTGAGTTGAGCTGTGCCTCCGCACTCTTTGTTCTGTTGATTGAGAAGCTTTCAAAGTACCTTGAAGACAAAGATGCTCACTGCATATGGAAAGCCTCCTGAATCTCAATATAAACAGAACAGCCATGCACAGAATGCACACACACCTAAGGAGCAGATTATCCATGGCCACGTGCACTAGTACTCTTTAGATTTCCCTAATTATCTGTGATGCTCATTAGTAGGGTATGCTCATGCACAAACACACACCTTTAATGTTACAAGCTTTGCTGTTGAGGGCCACCCACCTGAGATCCAGCTTCTCCACAGGAATGTTTGCCAAAACTGTTCCAGGCCATCAAGTAATGGCACGATGAATAAGAGTGAGTCACTCTTTCATTGCCTTGTGTAAATCTGCCCAAAATCGGCTGTTCTCTGCGCAAAATAGTTCAGGCACAAACTTTTCTGAACATCCCAGCTCAAAATCCTTGTTATTTAAGAAATAAGTAGTTGTTCCTGCATTCAGCAATGGACTTGTCTTTTTGTACTACGTTATGTCTATTCCCTGATTTTTTAAAACTTTTGTGTCTATTCCTTAGTGATAATCCTCTGAGAAACTTTGAAAGCTCTGTTGCTTTCAGAGTAAGATCCATTATATAAAAGAGGTGCAGAATCAGAGGCCAAGAATATCATCTTATGCACACCTGTTTAGAAGAAAGGCTTATTAACCTTAATAAAAGCCAGATACGTTTAGAGCAAGACAGCAACCCCATGAACTTTTATTTGAAAGTAAGTCCTATTAAACTTCTCAGATATAAAATAACTTTGCAGCTTAAGTTACATCATTCTACAAAGAAAATTCCCTTTATAAGCTACAACAAGCCACTGCATGTTGGGAGGTACGGCTCTTTTTGAAAGTCATGAATCAGCCTAGCATGCCAGCTTGGTTATTCTTGATCTTGGGTGGTTTTTGTGGCTTAGTTTGTAGTGAGAACCCAACCTGTTTGTGTCTTTTACAGTTCAAGGGTCTTGAATGAGCCCAGCAAACAAGTTAGCTTGGTAATCTAGTTAAGCATGTTCAGTGAACATAGCCTATGATTACAGCCAGGGTGGGCATTCTTTAGTTGGCTGTATTCAGTCTTGTGTGGGACGATCAGAGGAAAAATTAGGTGCTTAAAGTGGAAGGAAGCAGGACAAAAGCAAAACAGGAAACTGACATTAGTATGATCTCCTGTTATCTCTGCTGTTCCAACAAGATCTGTTAAGGTTGGCATGCCCCAGCCCCCAACAATTAAGCAGGGCCAGGAGGTATGCCGACTCGGTCACCATGCCTGCTCTATAGAAGAACATCTTCTCCAAAATTTAGATGGTCCTCACCTTACCAGCCTTTAGAAAGACTTTGAGACCATTTTTAATGTTTTCAGTGTGAGTTGCCTCCAACACAATGTGTTTTTAATGATTTCTGTTGTATTTCTATGGTTTTCTTAAGCTCTCTGTTAGCTTCCAGAGTCACATGACAAGTGGGTAGCCCCACACAATAAAAATATCCTATCCTACCCTTTCCTATCCTAACCCAGTTAATAACAAAATGAGAATGTAGAATAGCATAGCATGTGCTATACTGCTCCAGGAAGGTGTATTGTGACTTGTGCTTGCAACAACCATATGTTTTGTGACACTAAAATGTGTGCAAAAGGCTGGTGGATTCAAAGGCAGTAAAGACACAAATTAAATAAAAGTGAAAGCATTTATTAAGCCGAGCATAGCAAAAATAGAATTGCAAAATACAATATAGATACAAAATATCCACACACAAGGTAATAAAACAAGGCGTTGTAACGTTCAGTAAGGAGTGTAAAAATCTCAGTTGCAGTTGATAACTAGGAGTTATCCATCCTTCTGAAAGACAGCTAAGGATGTTTCCCAGATTATTTCAGTTAGTGTATATCAGGGTTTCTCAACTTTAGCAACTCTGAGATGTGTGGAATTCTGGGAGTTGAAGTCGACACAGCTTAGAGTTGCCAAGTTGAGAAACACTGGTGGGTATCACTGATCCCAGATAGCCCTATACTGAGTCTCAACCCTGAAAGCTCATTTAATATTCTTCAGTAAGTACTCGTCCTTCTAACTGTACCTATTTAGACTTCTTGCCTAATGATTATCAGAAGTTTATGTAAGATAGTATCAGCTCATCCATTCTGTCCTCCTGATGGGGTGGCTGGCCTTAGCAAAACTTTAAAAAAAGAGAGAATATTCAATGACTAGTTGAGGTCACGAAGCGTAGATGCCTCTGTACTTTGGGGAAAAGCTAAAGTTTTAACTAACCATGTAGAAGAGAAGGCATGTTATACTGGATAGTCCTAGGTAGGAACTTATGAAAATAAATATTATTTGAAGAAATGAATTTCCATTTGAATATGTCAGTGTGATTTTAAAAAAACTGTGTTTGTTTGTTTATCAAGATCTTTCTTCAGAGAGCTCAGAGCAATACCTGAAAATCCCGACCTGGGATTAGCAAGGACATGCTGAGCGATATTTATGTGGCCCCTGAATTTTTTTTCCTGTGGTTGGGGGAGCACTGGGTATGCCGTGCCAAATTATGACCATGAAGCTCAAACTTTGTTTAACTAACACAGTTTTTTCAAGTGGGGGGAGATTTTTTTAGTCTCCCCCCACTTAATTATAAAAAAGGAAAATCCCTTTATTACATATTATGCAGCCCCACTTTGCATCAACTCACTTTCGCACACACACAAACACAAACGTGCCACTTGGGCACTGAAGGTTTGCCCACTCTTGATTTATATAATACAACCATACTTAAAGTATCACCTTTATCAGATGAAAACCCATTCCCAAGAAATGAGCCTCAAGATTCAAAGAAAGGAAATAGGTTGTGAATTGGTAGCCTAGAAATGTCAGGATTGGTTTGGTTTTATGGGTCACATATATTGAACTCCTAATGTGACATCAGCAGGGGCCTATTGAATGTTCTTCAGGCTCCCCTGTTAGAGTTCAATTTCTCGTGTTTAAATTCCACATTTATTTATTTTTTCCTATTTTATTCTTTCAGGGAACACTGGAAACACATTCAGGATTGAACCAGTTCTAGGTATCATCACCGTGTTGAAAGAACCGGACCTGACCACCATGAGCCAGTTCGTTCTATCAGTTAAAGTAGCTGATCAGGGTTCTCCCCCATTGTCAGCTACCGCCATTGTCCGCATATCTGTGACTATGTCAGACAACTCCCGCCCAAAATTCACACACAAGGAATGGCAAGCTGAAATAAATGAAAATGTTGATTTTGGGACTTCAGTTATCCAGGTCTCAGCAATCAGTCAGTCTACATTAGTCTATGAGGTTAAAGATGGCAACGTAGATGGAGCCTTTGCGATCAATCCTTATTCTGGAGTCATCACTAGCCAAAAGCCTCTTGATTATGAACGCACTTCCTCTTACCAGCTCATAGTGCAAGCCACGAACATGGCAGGGATGGCATCAAATGGCACGGTAAACATCCAGATAGTTGATGAAAATGACAACCCACCTGTTTTTCTTTCTTCTCAATACTTGGGCAGCATCAGTGAAGCTGCCCCTGTAAATAGCATAGTCCGGAGTGTAGGAAACACTCCACTGGTGATACGAGCTACAGATGCTGATAGTAATCAAAATGCACTGCTTGTCTACCAAATTGTTGAGTCAACTGCTAAGAATTATTTTACAGTAGACTCCAGTACAGGTGCAATTAGAACGATTGCTGATTTGGATCATGAAACCATCGCACATTTCTACTTTCATGTTCACGTTCGAGATAGTGGCAGTCCGCAGCTTACTGCAGAAAGTCCTGTTGAAGTGACCATTGATGTAATGGATGTCAACGATAATCCTCCAGTGTTCAGTCAGGCAATGTTTGAAACCATCTTGCTTCTACCAACTTATGTTGGAGTGGAGGTTCTTCAAGTCAAGGCTGTGGACCCAGATTCAGAAGTCCCATCTGAAATGACTTACAGCCTGATTGAAGGGAACACAGAGTATTTTCTCATTGATTCAATTTCTGGGGTGTTAACTATAAAAAACAACAGCCTTTCCAGAGACCATTACATGCTGATAGCGAAAGTATCTGATGGGAAATTTTATAGTAGTGCTATAGTGACAATAATGGTCAAGGAAGCCATGGATAGCGGTCTTCACTTCACTCAAAGCCATTATTCTACATCTATCTTGGAGAACAGCACCAATGTCACAAAGGTAGCAGTGGTCAATGCAATCGGAAACCGTCTTAATGAGCCCTTGAAGTACAGCATATTAAATCCAGGGAACAAATTCAAGATCAAACCCACCTTAGGTCTTATTCAAACTGTAGGCCTCCCGTTTGACAGAGAAGAACAGGAATTATATGAACTGGTGGTAGAGGCTAGTCGTGAGCTGGATCATCTGCGAGTGGCCAGAGTGGTTGTCCGAGTTCTCATTGAAGACATCAATGATAATGCTCCGGTGTTTGTTGGACTTCCTTACTACGCTGCTGTTCAAGTTGAGGCTGATCCTGGCACTCTGATATACCGAGTGAGGGCCATTGATAAAGATAAGGGTGCAAATGGTGATGTAGCTTACCTACTGAAGGAGGACTATGGACACTTTGAAATTGACAGCCACACTGGGAGCATCACATTGAAAGCACCCTTTAATTCTGACTTATCTAATATAGAATATTTAATTATTGTCATTGCAAAAGATGGAGGCAACCCATCACTGTCTGCATCTGTGGAATTGCCTATTACAATAGTTAACAAAGCCATGCCCATCTTTGACAAGCCCTTCTACACAGCCTCTGTAAATGAAGACATAGAAATGAACACCCCGATTCTGAGCATCAATGCTACCAGCCCAGAAGGTCAGGGCATCATTTACATAATTGTGGATGGTGATCCCTATAATCAGTTCAACATTGACTTTGACACAGGAGTCCTCAGTGTCATCAGTCCATTAGACTATGAAATCAATCCCATTTTCAAGCTGATGGTGAGAGCCAGTGATGCTCTTACTGGTGCCCGAGCTGAAGTCACAGTGGACTTAATTATCAAAGATGTCAATGACAATGCTCCAGTTTTTGATCACTTTGCTTACAATGCCACCTTATCTGAAGCCTCTCTGATTGGGACCCCTGTCTTGCAGGTCATTGCGACAGATGCGGATTCTGACAATAACAAAATCATTCAGTACCAGATAGTCCAGGACACTTTCAATAGCACAGATTATTTTCATATTGATGGTACAAGCGGCCTGATCCTAACAGCCCGCTTGCTGGACCATGAACTGATGCAGCAATGCGGCTTAAAAGTAAGGGCCACTGATAATGGATTCCCACCTCTAAGCAGTGAAGTTCTAGTTAACATCTACGTGACAGATATGAATGACAACCCTCCCATTTTTAATCAGTTGATATATGAATCGTACGTCAGTGAGTTAGCTCCTCGAGGTCATTTTGTGACTTGTGTCCAGGCTTCTGATGCAGACAGCTCCGATTTTGACCGATTGGAGTACAGTATCTTGTCTGGAAATGACCGTACCAGTTTTGTAATGGATACCAAAAGTGGCATCATCACACTGTCAAATCATCGGAAGCAGAGAATGGAGTCAATGTACAGCTTGAATGTTTCTGTTTCTGATGGTTTGTTTACCAGCACTGCTCAGGTCCATATCCAGATTCTGGGAGCTAATTTGTATAGCCCTGTGTTCACTCAAAGCATTTATGTGGCAGAAGTTAGAGAAAACGCTGTCCCAGGAACCAGACTTATCCATGTCAAAGCAACAGATGGAGATTCGGGCATATATGGGCAAATCAGTTACTCAATCATAAATGATTTTGCCAAAGACAGATTTATAATTGACAGCAAAGGGCAGATCATCACTACTGAGAAACTTGATAGGGAACTCCCTTTAGAAGGTGATATCACTATATTTTTAAGAGCTCTTGATGGCGGAGGGAGGAGCACATTCTGCACTGTCCGAGTCATAGTAGTGGATGAGAATGACAATGCCCCACAGTTTATGACTGCGGAATATAGAGCAAGTGTCAAAGCAGATGTTGGGAAAGGTCATTTAGTCACCCAGGTCCAAGCATTTGATCCTGATGATGGCGCGAATGCCAGGATTGTCTATTCCCTGTATAGTGAAGCCTCAGTTTCTGTTGCGGATCTCCTGGAAATTGACCCAGACAATGGATGGATGGTAACCAAGGGGAATTTTAACCAGTTGAAAAATACAGTGCTATCCTTTTTTGTCAAAGCTGTGGATGGTGGCATTCCTGTAAGGCATTCCCTTATCCCTGTATATATCCATGTTTTACCTCCAGAAACCATCTTGCCTTCGTTTTCTCAACCCCAATATTCCTTTGCAGTGTCAGAAGATGCACTAATAGGGAGTACAATTGATGCTCTGCATGTTTTACCTAATCAGGGAGTCATCTATAGCACAGTTAACGGTGAATTGACAGGAAACAACAAGGATGGAGTTTTCATTATAGAGCAAGACACTGGCATTATAAAACTGGACAAGAGGCTTGACCATGAGACAAATCCAGCCTTTCATTTTAAAGTGGCTGCAACCCTACAGCTGGATAAGGTGGATATTGTGTTAACGGTGGATGTGGACATTAAAGTTATAGACATTAATGACAACAAGCCTATTTTTGAGGCAGCCAAGTATGAAGCTATCATAATGGAGGGAATGCCAATAGGAACTAAACTTGTTCAAGTTAAAGCAACTGATGCAGATTCTGGGGCCAACGGTCAAGTCACATATTCTCTCTTAACAGAATTGGATGTTGACAGGATCTCTGAGGTGTTCACTATTGACAGCAACAGTGGCTGGATCAGCACCTTGAAAGATTTAGACCATGAGAAGGATCCCACTTTTGCCTTCACTGTGGTTTCCTCTGACCTGGGAGAAGCCCTGTCCCTCTCAGCAACCACCTTAATCTCTGTCACTGTCACAGACATCAACGATAATGCTCCCATATTCCAGCATGAGATGTACAGGGGGTCCGTGAAAGAAAGTGACCCACCGGGAGAAGTTGTGGCTGTCCTTAGCACTTGGGATGAAGATACCTCTGACATTAACCGCCAAATTAGCTACCATATTACAGGTAAGGTTCCTTTCAGAGCTGGTGTTATAAAAGGAAAGTGTTTTGGGACAACTTAAGCTTTGTGTACAGATGGTTCCTCATTCCAGCCCTGGTTTCTCTGGTTGGGTAGCAGAAATGAGCAGGCCAAGATTTTTCAGGTGGTCCTTGTTTAATGACTAAGTAGATTCAGATTCAGCAACGTTCAAACTTGCAATGGCACTGAATGAGTGGTACTTATGACCTGTCCTCAAAGTTCCAGCCATCGCAGCACCCCTGCAGTCATGTGATTACAATCCAAGCACTCAGCAGCCGGCCCAGATTACCGACCATTGCAGCATCCACAGTCACGTGATCATGATTTGTGACCTTCCCTGCTGACCTCCCACAAGCAAAGTCAATGGGGAAACTCACAGGAAGTCAGAAGTCACAATCACATGAGGTCCTCGCTTAACAACAGTAACCAGGGTCTGCCAGAACTGCCATCACTAAGCACAGTCATGTGACATTGCACTTTATGACCACATCACTTAGCGACAGATATTCCAGTCCCAAATGCCATTGTTAAGTGAGATCTACCTGTAAGACAAAACAAGAAAATCCAGAGTGTCTCTCTCCATCTCTAGCCTCCTGAGATACATATGGGTAGAGAGAAATTCACCCCTGGTGTTACAGGTACAAGGCAGAGAAATGTAGTGTGGCAAATAAGGAAACAGAGACAGGAACGAAGCTAGAGAGAGAGCAGCAACTGGGTACTGGCATGGTTTTACCGGGTAATTAAGGTGAAGATCTAAGAATGAGAAGCATTGTAGGGCTAGATCAAACCATATTATATGAATTACCTTCTCCCTTAATACCATCTACTTGCCATTTGTCGTGGTGTTCTCCAAATCCTCCAGAGTGCAATTTAGCAGCTCTGTCAACAGGGGAGATGGCAGAGTGGCGCTGAGAGTAAAGGTTCTGGGTCAAGCCGGCTAAAACTCAAGACCCCTGGGATCACAGCTCAGATTCACACATCCTATTTTTCTCTTAGGGTATTTATTCAGTTTAACCTTTAAATAGTGAACAAAGGGAAAATGGAACATTTGTAAGGAGGTTTTTAATTGGTTGTGTTCATGCTGTGCTGCCATGTAATGGCTCTGTTACCCATTATGATTGATGAGCAGGATTGTAACACTGTGCAGTAAGCAGAGACAATGAAGAAATTTGTTCTTCGAGATTGGCTGAGGCCAGGGAGGGTGGATTTTAATTAAAAACATCCTTTGAATTTCTAGATAGCAAACATCAGTGAAAATACTCATTTCTTAAGGACCAAAACTACCAGTGGAAAAGAATGGATGCTCACTCTGTGTAGACAAAATAATAATCATAGTTGATCTGCAAGGTAGGCTGACCTTTATAAAGATTGTGGCCACAGAGAAATGGTGGGCAGTCCCACCACCCCTTCTTTCCTTCCTGCTCTTTGTGCTGAAGAATGATCGTACAACTGCTTTTCATATTTGCAGATTAATATGCACACTTTGTGATACAACAAGCTGATTGCAGTCCAGAGATAAATTTGGGTATCTGCCTACCAGGTGTCGATAGTTTTTTGTAGACCAAGGCATGCAACAAAAATAGGGAAATTTATTGTGTGTTTCTGGAAGTGTGGGCAAGGGCAGCGAGTAACATCAGATGCATCATGATGCCATCATGCAAATTATGCAGGTTACACACACAGGCACATAGCATCATTTTGTCATCATGGCAGTTTCAACCAGAGGCCTATGTCTATGCATAGCTTTATTACCCAAGTCTTTGGTGCAGGTTTTTTGGACACCCTTGGGCAACTCCTGGTTTGGAAGACCTGTGTTGTATAAATGGTTGCTCAGCCCAAATATCACTGTATGACCTTAAATAAAAAAGCTGATTTATTCTCCCAAGATTTCAACCAAGAATTCTTCCTACAACACTTGGAAAAGTTGGGTATTGAACCTTCTGCCCTCAAACTGGAAGTCTGTGATGGACATCTGGTTTGTCTACCTCAAGGTTGGCAACCGTTGGATGGCTGAGGGTTGGACAAAATATTTTGGGGACGATAATGCAGAGTAGGGGGCATATCATACTTTCCAAAGATGACTTTTTTTCAGATGTTTTCCTGCCTTTTTCTTTAGCCTGCATTAAAGCCTCTGTTATTTTCCTTCTCCCAATCAGTAAATACCTCGCCAACTTTTTTCAGTCATTAGATTCAGCAAGGCAGTTGGAGCTCCATCGGCTTCAAAAAAATAGTTTGGACACCAAAGGCATTCCTAAAGCCTTAGGCTGCCTCCCTCTCCCCACTAAGTACCATGTAATCTCCTTCATCAGCAGTTCCTAAAATCAAGCAGTTTTCCTGTCTCTTCCTAAAATTCCTTGTCCCTTTCTAAACCTGAAGATGCCAGGCACCTTCCAGTTCTGTGTTTTGTGCTCATCCGTGTTCTTCTTAAACCAGATACAGTAATATCTCTCCAACCACCCAGCCTGTCTTCTGAAGTTTGCTTCTTCGTTTGTTTGAAAAAAGGATGATGGGCTATTATTAAATCCCTTGAGAATTCATTAGCCTTTGCCAGTCAAACTTAATAAAAAGGGGAAGGAGAAAATGACAGGTGCCATTCAGAAATCTCTTTTCCAGTGGCACAGGACTGTCCTACAGCTGGCCATTGAAGTGAATGGGGTAGCTTCACTTCCATGGCAGGGAAGAAGATAAATAGGAGTTGTCAGAGTTGCATTTCCTGTTTATTCCAAGATGTTGTTTCCAAACACAGGAGCGATTGTGCACCCAAAGCAAAGAATAATAAAGGCTGTGTCATACAGCTTTCCAAGATGGGTGGAAGCATCACTATCCCACTGAAACATCTGCTTGCCCTCATTAAACAGAGGCCATTCCATGCCAAGCTTGAGTCATGCGGTGCATACAGATGAAAACCACAGCAGCAGACCTCAGGACATTTTTACTAGAGAATAGTAAGGCTGCCCTCATTTACTCTCAGTTGTGATTTTAAAAAGTGCATAAACTCCATCCATATTCTTAGCAAACTCACAATGTGTAGGATATAATAAATGTGTGTACCCTTCTGAGAACAAACTGGCTGCTCAACTCTTGAAAATAAGCAATGGATGGTGCAATAAGGTTTCACAACAATCCATATATCCGGAGCTCTCAGAAGTCACATACAGTCTAGTGGGACTTTGCTTCCAAGTAAACATACAGAGGATTTAAGGACAAATCTAATTTAAACAGATTGGAAGGAGGGGTAGTGAATTCCAAGCTCCAACTCCTCTCATTGCTATTAATTCAAATTTTATGCTGATTGCGTTACAGTTGCTAAAGCAGGTTAGATGGGGATCTCCGAACAGTTCATGTTCAAAATACTGCCTTCTTCAAGGGAATGGATTCATTTAGGTCTATTTTTGTTTTTCCCCCAGAGGAGAATCTTATTCAGTGTGAAAGTAAAATCTTTTCAGACTCCTAATGTTCTCCCTCTACTGTTCTTGCTGCCGTTTGCACATGTTGAAGAATTGATTTTAAGCTCAGATGGAAGGACAATCATGGAACTGCAAGCAAAAAAATTGGGGAGCAAGGAGTCATGGCTGTAAATTTGCTGTCTGGTGTGGCCAGTTTCCTTTTGCGCAAAAAGGGCCATAATCTTGGGCTCATTCCAAAGGTATATTTTTGCTCTGCTAGTGTGACCCTGGCACATGCGAATTGCACACAATTAAGGATATCTTGGGAAGGAAGCACATTATCCAAAGAGCTCACAGTATGTGTCTGTTGTGTCTGCTGAACAAACACAGACAAGCAGGGGACTTAACTCTTTTCTTGCCACCTAGAAGCTGGGGCTCAGCTTGATATGAGTCTGGGACTTACCTCATTTTGTTGCTACTTTTCAACCAACTAAAACCAACTTATGAAAAGATGCTTTGCCTGGAAAAGAATTATCTCTCACTACTTGCCCTACCTCTTTCTACGGGGTTAGTTTTTTTTTTTTTCCTTCCCCCTTTTAGGAGAAATGGAGAAAACTGGCAAAAAAGACATGGGTGAGCCTGTTTGGCCTGAAGGATGCATGTGATCTTAAGTATTGTAAGAAAGTGGCTGTAATCAGGGAAATAATGGGTAGGGCCAGAATGGGAAAGACAGGATATAAATTAATGTTGATGCATGAAGTATGATAATAAATAAAATACCCTCTGTATTTTTTTTTCTTTTTAAGCTCTTGGAAGCATCTGACTGCAGTAGCCAGTCAAATGCTTCCAAGAGCTTAAAAAGAAGGGCATGTATAGCACATCCATCTGCATGTCCTTAGCTTTCCTGCTGGTCTTCCTGTGAAACCCATAGTTCAGTTTCTCTGCATGGAAATATGAAGTCTGTTCTTCTGTCCCCCCTTCAAAAGTGCTGTGGATCCTTCATCTCAGCATCTCTGACATCAGCGCTTTAGCCAAAAAGGTTGACCCACACTTCCCAAACTCAGGTCACCCCACACTGGAAACACCAAATCAGTCTTTCACTTCTTGGAATATATTAGTATAATTCAAAAAGGTTGACCCACACTTCCCAAACTCAGGTCACCCCACACTGGAAACACCAAATCAGTCTTTCACTTCTTGGAATATATTAGTATAATTCAAAAAGGTTGACCCACACTTCCCAAACTCAGGTCACCCCACACTGGAAACACCAAATCAGTCTTTCACTTCTTGGAATATATTAGTATAATTCTAAATATATGTCAGCCCTTTGAGGTTGGCATGGTCATGAAAGAAGAACAGCTGGATTTCAGGAATGTTCTTGATTGCTGTAAGAGTATTATAACTGAATCTTGAAAGCCCATCAGAGTTCCTCTCTACTACCACTTAACAAAATCAAGGCAGAGTTGTCTTGAGTTTCTTTCTCACAGTTGTCCTCTTTCACAAGAATCTTGTTGCACTTCCTCCTTTAAGGGCGCTTCCTTCCCTTCCCCATTCTCAAAGGGAGACCAACATACCTTCCCAAAATAATACCTTCCTGA